TTATTCTATAAGCACTTACTGGACAGCTTGGATCAGACAGCCTGCAGGGAAAGGACTGGAGTGGGTTGGAGGGTCAGGTGTTGGACATAGCACACTCTACAAAGATTCATTAAAGAACAAGTTCAGTATCAGCTTAGATTCTTCCAGCAACACAGTGACTCTAAATGGACAGAATCTGCAGCCTGAAGACACTGCTGTGTATTACTGTGCTAGGAAACCACAATAACACAAACCAGCTGTAGACCTGAACAAAAACCCCAAAGTCCTTAAATACATACTGTATCTAAAAAGTATTCCTAGTGCTTCACTTGTTTTTTAATTTTGTCACGTTGTAGCTTTATTCCAAAATGGACTAAATTCATTTTTCACCTCAAAATTCTATGACAAAGTGAATCCTCTCTGGATAATCTGTATGTATAACAACAAGAGGAGAGACAAGAGGACAATTAGTTCCTTTGTTGCAACAAATTTTAATTACAGTGTCAATTTAAAGTATGACTGAGTAATACAATTAAAGAAATGCTAGGCAAAGTTGGTCTCCTGGCAAGTTTATCAGATAACATAGTTGGTAACTTCCTTGCTACTCAACTATAAAAACTGCTTATAAGAAAACTTCAGAATGCAAACATGGTTTGCATTCACCTGTCAAACCATTTATTCGTTTTGGCAACTTTTGGCAACTGTACAGCTTGGATAAAACAGTCTGTAGGAAAAGTACCGGTGGGTCACAGCAGGTGGCTGCCCCTTCCTGTTGAAAGGAAGAATAGTTGATTAGAAATATTGATTTTTAGTACTGTTAGAAAGCTATGTCATTCTTCCTTTTCTTTTCTTTTTTTGAGCTTAAATAGTTTTTTGCTGAATGTTGTTTTTTTTGTGGGGATGAGGGGGGTGGGGGGGTGTTATACATTTGTTCAGATTTCTAGAAATAAAAGCTCGCCAGCTCTTTAGGTCTTCCTCAGAAAGATTCCCAATTATCTACAAAGCCCACATTTTTTTTTCGGACAGCACTCACACAGCCAGCATTTTAAGGAGAATATATGGCTAAACATGTCACTCATGGTCCAAATGACATAAGTGGAGAAATGTCTCCTTAGAATAGAATTGCCCTTTATTGTCATTGTTCATGTACAATGAAATGACAATCCTATTATGTTCTTAAATCTCTGTAAAGACTTCTCAGCAATGCAACGACTGCCACAACATTAAGTGCAAAAAACTAATGCCAGGACAATTACCAGCAAATTGCATGTCACAAATGTTAGTAAATCAGTTTGGGCACCTGATTCTTTCTCATCCAAGCATTTTGCATTGTGTGATAGGAACTCCCAGAAATGTATATGCAACAGGATCAGTTACTTTTCACACCTCTTACACACAACCTTCTCACTTTTCATATATGCACATTTTAAGATAATGTGACAAACCTGTTATCAAATAGTTGCTTAGGTTGGCAGAGATACAATGTTTGCTTTTCATGCACTTTGCTACTTTTTATTCAGATTATTTTAACATGTTTCTATGATACAGTGATGTGGAAAAACTTTTTGCCACCTTCCTGATTTCCTTTTTTTGGTTTGTATGTTTATCACACTTAAATATTTTAAATCATCAAATAAATGTAAATATGAGACAAAGACAACAGAAGTAAACAAAAAAATGCAGTTTCTAAATGAAGGTGTTAATTATTAAGGGAAAAAAATCCAAACTTACGTGGTCCTGTGTGGAAAAAATGATTGTCTCCTAAACCCAATAACTGGTTGGGCCCTTAGTAGCAACAATGGCAATCAAGTGTTTGTGATGAATGGCAATGAGTCTTTTACCAGTTTCTTGGATGTTGTTTTGTAGTCTTTTGTGACATCTTAGACGATAATTTCACTATTGGGGTAATTATGCTCGGCCAGCCACTCCTGGGAAGAGTCACCACTGTTCCATGTTTTTGCCATTTGTGGATAATGGATCTCACTGTGGTTTGTTTGAGTGCCACAGCTTTAGAAATGGCTTTATAACCTTATAAACTTCTCCAGACTGAGAGCTCTTAATTACTTGTTTGTTGTTTTTCATTGTTCCTGATTTTCCTTGGATTGCAGCATGATGTCTGGCCTTTGAGGAATTTTTGGTCTAGTCCACTTTGTCAGGGGGGGCCTGTGAGATTATTCTGTTATCATATGTTATCTTATATCTGTAGTTAAAGTAGTTGAATTATGTTAACAGCTGTAGAACATATATGTATCCCTTAGTCTAGATTGTGTGCAAAGTATGTAGCTTAGTTTCCCTTATATTTTTAGGTTAAAAGAATGTGACCATTTTTGGATTTGTTAGACAGGTGTGGATTACCCTGTACCCTTGATCTGCTGTGAATGTGTTACACTGTTTCTTGACATTTCATACTGCTGAATCATGAAGAGAATGTTGTGTGCAGAGGACCTTGTGCCGATAATAGAAGAGACAGACCACATTCCATACCCCCACCTTTACAGAGAGCAGAAGGACAGGGAGCTGAGGTCATAACTTAGGCGCCATAACAGAGAAAGAATGTAAATGTTTAGGCTTTTACGACTAGGTGGGGGCCACTAGAGGCTATAAGAAGCTGAGTAACCCGTCACCATTTTGAGATTTGCTGTGACCCTCTACATGCATGTCTCCCCATCCGGATGGTTTATGCTCATTGTATGGAAATAAATGATTGTTGATTGAGCATTTATACACCGAGTATTGTCCTTCCTTCAGCCCAAAGTGTCATGGTTCGTTGTGTGGCAGGCAGGAGAAGGACCCAAGATGCAGACTCACAGACACGGGGATAAACTTAAAGAACACAGCTTTAATGCTGGCACGGCAGAATACAGGACATACAGAACTAACTGGGAAAAGTAAACTAACACTCGCAGGAAGACACAGGAAGATCCACACAACATGAGGGAGAACGCGACGCCGAACAGAGGGAGACGCAGACAGAAATACACAGAGGGTTAACGAGGAAAGAGGGAACACACGGGGAACACAGGTGACACTGATAATCATAACGAGACAGGGCGGGGTGAACTGAACATGACATGTACAGGCGTGAGAGTCACAAAGTAAACAGGAAGTGCACAGAGGTTCAGACAGGAGGAGAGAGAGCACGGGGAAAACACAGACATAACGGGCTGGGGAAACATGAAACAACCACAAAGGGAGACGAGGGCTCATAAATACACAGAGGGCACACAGGGGGGAGAGAGAGCACGGGGAGAACTTAGACATAACGGGCAGGGAAAACATGGAATAAAACATAAGGAGAGACGAGGGCTCACAGATACACAGAGGGGCACACAGGGGGTAAAAGCCATGAAGGGAAAACACTTAGGGAACAACACAACAGGGCAACTCAGGAAACATGGCCTAAATAAGGAACGAAATACAAAAATACAAGGAACTAAGAATACTGGGCCCACATGGCCCAGGACCATGACATCACCCCCCCCTCAAGGGCTGGCTCCCGACAGCCCAAACCCGAGAAACAAAACAAAAACAGAAAACAACCCACCCAGGGCGGGAGGCGGGGGACCAGGACGGAGGGACCAGAACGGGAAACAAAAACCAACAACAGAAAACACAGGAGCACATGACCATAGTCCAAATACAGTTCAGGGGGCCGACCCAGAGCCCACAGGCACAAGAGTTCACGGGTCACACGGTCGGGGGCCGACCAGGCGGGTGGCACAGGTGACAGAGCTGGTCCGGAGGCCGGCCGCGCGGAAGGCAGCGGCGGCGGCGAAGGAGACGACGGAGCAGTTCAGGGGGCCGGCCGCGCGGAAGGCAGCGGCGGCGAAGGAGACGACGGAGCAGTTCAGGGGGCCGGCCGCGCGGAAGGCAGCGGCGGCTCTCCAGTCTAAGGCGTGCTGGCCATGGCCCGGTGGGCACAGGACCAGACGAAGCACAGGCTGAAGCTGGACCAGACGAAGCACAGGCTGAAGCTGGACCAGACGAAGCACAGGCTGAAGCTGGACCAGGAGGAGCAGAAGCCGAAGACTCTGAAGCTGGACCAGGAGGAGCAGAGGACGAAGACTCTGAAGCTGGACCAGGAGGAGCAGAGGACGAAGACTCTGAGGCTGGACCAGGAGGAGCATAGGACGAAGACTCTGAGGCTGGACCAGGAGGAGCAGAGGACGAAGACTCTGAGGCTGGGCCAGACGAGGACGAGGACGAAGACTCTGAGGCTGGGCCAGACGAGGACGAAGTCTCTGAGGCTGGGCCAGACGAGGACGAAGACTCTGAGGCTGAAGCCGGAGCCGGACCAGGCGGAGCAGGAGCAGCTGATGCAGAGGCCGGACCGGGCGAGGATGAAGGCTCTGAGGCTGCAGCTGACGAAGCACAGGCTGGAGCTGCAGCTGACGAAGCACAGGCTGGAGCTGCAGCTGACGAAGCACAGGCCGGAGCCGCAGCTGACGAGGACGAAGACTCAGAGGCTGCACTGCAAAAACCCACCTCCTTAATACTAGAAAAATACACTTATTTTTGGTGAAGATTTGCTTAAAACAAGTGAAATTATCTGCCCATGGGGTAAGTGTTTTTTTCTTAATAAGATTTCTTGAAATAAGAACAATATCTAGATTTAAATAAAGCTAAAAATAAGTGTTTTACACTCATTCCAGGGAACAAATCAGAACATTGAAACTTAAAATAAGCTTTAACCACTGATTGTAGGCCACAAATAAAGATAATAAAGCTAAAAATAAGTCTTTTACACTTATTCCAGGCAACCAATCATGGCTTGAAACCTAAAATAAGCTTTAACCACTTGTTCTAAGTAAAATGTTGAAGAAATTAAATCTGAAAATAGGCATAAAACACTTATTCTAACAAACAAATCAAGGCAAATAATCTAAAAACTAGTACATTAAATCATTTTTAAGAAATTTCTTCTTTTTAAATTTAGCTAAACACTACTTTAAGATTATATTGCTGATTAAGGACAAAACAAAACTGAAACAGAGTAAAAGTGTCCATCTTTATTTGTCCACTTTAACAATAACCTGCAGATAATAAAGATACAATTGAACAGTACAGGTCCAACATTATGAGTTTGTTTAAGTGGTTTCAACATTTCAACAGCCTTAGAGGTTTCGCCATTGCCCCATTAAAATTGACGAGTGACATAGGAAGACCACAAAGATTCAAATTTCTTCCGAATGACACCAAATACCACAAAACTTGTCTGGGTGAGTAAATGAACATTTTCCATTTTAGAAATAAGACCCACATTGAAAAAACAAACAAAAACAAAACAGAAGTGCCCTCTCCTAATCTTATCTGAAATTTACACACTACTTTCCAATAAATGCATGCCATTCTGCCAGGGCTTTTCTGTAAGATGATGTAGTGTCATGCTCATGAATGGCATCCTGGAGAACTTCTGTCTGAATGACAGACAGCAGGGTTGCCACGCATTTGGGGTAAGTCAGATGGAGTGCATAAAAGTATGCCATCACATATATCATAGCCTCACCAATTTTTTCTTTGTCAAATGTTGTAACTGGTAAATTACCAACAGCAATGACACACTTGCAGCCATCGAACATCACTACTGGACATGACAAGCTTCGTTTCTGGAGGACAGCATCTGGATCTTCTGTAGGCTGCAAGACACAAAAGACATGACAGTCAACATCTTATGTTAATTGTATGTTTTTTTGCTGGGAATTGGTCATAACGTTGGAGATGTCATTATCTTGTTCTTTGTTGGTTACACACATTTTATAGTAGTTTTGACTTATGGTTTATCAAGCGACTCCTTATGTGACCACACTCGTGTACATTAAATACGTTATAAATTAATGAAAACAATAAATTATAGATTTAAGTCTTTCGGCTGAAACTGAAAAAGCATTTTTGAGTCATGTTTGACCGAAATATTTTGTTTGCCAAATTTTCTGTAGATCTTTATAAGCAAATTTTATAAAACTTACCTTCAGGACATGTAGAAATGCTTCAGAAGCATTCCCCATCTTTTTTGGTGGATGGGCAGGTGTGGGAAAGAGGGTTGGAAGAGCCTTCATCAGTGCAAGGTGGGCTTCAGCTGGACAAAGCAGAAACAAACCTTCATAAACATAAATTTTAAAGGATGAGAACTTTGTATTCAAATGGTAAAACTTACTTTTGTCCATGGTCATTGGTGGATTCATTGCCTTCTTTGACACACCGTAGAACTCTACCCTGGAGCAGAATTCTTCCCATCTCAGTTTTACTTGACTGATGAACTTGTTGTTGTGGGGATCCAAAATTCTGCGAAGCTCACCCAACGCCTACAATAGGTTTAAAAAAATAAGTAGACAAATAAAATCAAAATAACTTTACTACCACACCAAATATATTTGAAATTAAAGTGATTATTTATTAACTCTTCCAAAAACTTACATGATGCAATTCTTTAAAGCATGGATATGCATCCAAGATGAGGCAAGCTCTGTTCTCCTCTTTCATGGTGTCTGAGTCAATGAAGGATCTTCTGGCTTCAAACTCGAGGTCTAATAGCTGGGACACATCTTCTTGGTTTGGTTTTGCCTTCTTACACATTTCTTGTAATGTTTTGTAATGTCTTGCTTGTATTTGCCGACTATCCTTGTCAGCTAAGATAGAGAGAAGTACAAGAGCATTTTGGTTTTTCATTGTTACTGAAGTAGACTTCCACAAAACATTAGCTACTACTGGCTGTGTGTTGATAACCATTTTACAAAATTACTAGTACTCACATGAAGTGGAGGCATTGTCAGAATTTCTGACAGGTGATAACAGAGTAGATGCACCACTGGAAGAACTGCGATCAGCATCTTCATCATCAGCTTCTTCATCCCTTGGGTAGAGGTCAGTGAGCCTTCTCTTGGGCCGTCCCCTCTCCGGTGTTGGTCCTTGCCTTTTTACTGGGGTTTTCATATTTTGCAGCCTTTTTGTAACTTGGCATTAATGCTCTCCTGGTGAAAATACATATATATCATGCCCCCTGAACAAAACAAAATGATTTATATATGAGACACAAATACAAGAACTTACGTGTTTTACGCTTGCATCATTATCCTGCAGCATAGGATAATATTCCACAACTTTTTTAGCCATTGCAGTGATTTCGGTCTTAGAGGGGTATCGCTCCATTTGGCCTTGGCTTGCTCTCAAAAGGGACACCATACTTGTGATTGTATTTCTCACCAATCTGCATCTCAGTTCTTTTGACATGACGCATGCCTGTTCCCTGCCGGAGCAGGCCAACTCCAGGTAACTCTTTCGGCATTGCTCCAACTCACTGTCGGTGTACAGAACATATTCCGGAGGACTGGGGAGCTGCAAGGTTTTCAGCTGGCTTGCATTAGCATCAGCAGTTGGAGGGCCTGTTGCAACTACCCTGGGTGAAGAAGTTGTTTCAGGTTTCTGTGGTAGCGGATGGTCTTCCTGGTTTAGGGTGAGAAAATAAAAATGTCAAGTACTGCTAAAATAAAAGCATACTTTCTGGAGATTAGTTGAACTAAATATTTTTACATAATACCTCAGGATGAATTATTGACCACACATGTTTTCTTCTGAGAAAGTGCTCAGGCCCAGAAAAAGGTCCCTCAGGTCAATGTTAAAAGCATGCACTCGTCAATGCTTGCAGCTAACAAAAGACAAACACCAGTTAAACTGTGCAAGCACATAACTGCACAAACATAACTGTTTTTTTAATATATATATATATATATATATATATATATATATATATATATATATATATATATATATACACACACAAATATATTATCAAATATAACCTTTAAGGACAGATACTGTTACATCATCCAGCTTCTCCATTGCTCAGTCACCTGCAAGACAAATGTTTACAATTAGTGTTATGTTAAAAACATTTGAAAAGTTGAATCTTAATTGAGTCCCATGAGAATCAAATTGATTCACGTCAAAGAATCGTTTTGATTGTTCAACATTTTTACCCTTTTTAAAGCTATTATAGAAAAGAAATGTCCAGACAGCCCGGCTGAGGTCTGAAAGGGTTATACAATATTGCCCGGTGAACTTTTACTCACCCAGATTTGTGTCATTGAATTTCATCAATAAGATTATGCTGACTAGGGCTGCCAGATCATGCATCCATTGGACGTAAAATGTACAGCTTATTGCACCAGCAGTATCTGCTCTTACATAACGATCATTAGCTTATAGCTTTAAGTGTTTAAGGTATGTGCTAACTAAAAATAAAGGCAAGATGATAGTTTATTACATTTTAAAGAAATTTGCAGATTGCTCATTGCTATCTAAAATATAAAAGGACACCGGAGTATATTCTCCAGCATCTCACACTTCTGATAATCAGTTGTCTGCTTGACGTTTATTCAGCTGTGTAAAAACTATAACTTTAATCTCAGCCAAACCGATTTACTCAGGAACAAATAAAATACTGAAAAAAGCCAAACAATAACATTTTTAAGTTATTTAAGTGACTTATATATCATGTTCACCTGAGTAGTGAAAGACGGCGGTGGTTTTGAAAATGGTTCGCCCGGAGTCCGGTGTTCTCACGGCTCTAGTGAGCGTTAAACCCCGGCTAGCTATCGAGCTAGTGGGTAACAGACGTCTCCGAAAACGTCGGAGCGCTTTTGAAAATATGTGGTGTCTTGATAAACTGTCCAGATATTTGAAGTTTACACGGCTACATTCTCACCTGAAAATATGTTAAACGTTTATTTTGTGACCTAGAAAGAGTAATAAGAGAAATTTTAAAACTAATTAGCTGCCGCCATTTTTGGAAACTGAGCTAGGCCGCGCTATGAATTCTGGGATACAGCTTCTTCTTCTTCTTCGGGGTTTAACGGCAGCTGGCATCCTTGCACATACAGTGCTGCCATCTTCTGTTTCAATTTTGAATCGATACACAGCGCTACTTGTTTTACCAACCAGCCTGATTCCTGAATAACACTGTTTTGAGCCCACTTTAATAAATCCAATTAATATCAAAATATTAATTTAAACCCACACCTTGTGAGGGAATACAAGCAGCTAGTAAATCAGTCAAAGACAATTGGAAAACCCTGAATGTGGTTAATTAGCTCTCTTGCTAATTGAAAGAAATTCTCAGTGTGCCTATTAACTTAAGTTAATACAAACGGCTAATACTGCCCCTTATAAATAGCATAGCTAGGAATTCTCACAACATTACAGTAGATACTTCACTAAATAATGTTCTCTGAACCACATGCGAGGGCTGCTAAGCTAACGCTAGCATCCGTTAGCATGCTACATTACTCCTTCCCGCGCTCAAATTAAATTTATTATTCTGTCCGCTTGACTTTAAAACAGTGATTAGACTACACACTACTTACATTCGAAAAATTAAAATTGCTTACCTCTCTTTCTTGACGAAGCTTTCTCTCACAGTTTTTCTTTCAATGCTCAGGTGCAGAAGATTCCTGTGACTCCAAATTCAAACGGAGTTGGGTAACAACTAACATGGAACACGAAGGGGGGTGCACATCTCAATTTTTGCTTCTATATACAATTTAGTGGTTTGTACGTTCATAAAACACAGTCAGTATGATAGGTAAATTTCTTCTTCATTGATTTAAAATAAACTCTTATAGGTGTTATTTCATTTTACCTTATTTGTGACCATTTTTTGTTTTTACAGCTCCAGTTTGTAATACCCCCTCCCCCCATGAACTTGGTATTTCCCAAACTAGCGCGGCAACAGCTCCACACTGCAACATATTTTTTGCTTGACTTTAGTCTAATACAATGGCCTGTTGGAGGTGTGTGATTTGCTTCGTCTTTGTGGCGTTAACATTGAAGTCTCTCTTAAGTCACATTAATACTGCACACAGTCGCAGTCCAGATTTCCGTGTCATTTGTGGAGTCGATGGATGCGCCGAGGATTACCGTGTTTTCAACTCGTTTTACCACCATCTCAGACGCACACATCCACAATACATCTCCACTGGGAACCCGCCTACAGGATGGCTGACAGCTTCATCCGATGCAAATGTATTAGGAGGCGAAAATTTTGGTACAGCCATTTTTGCCGACTATACTGCCGAACCCAGACAAACTGTTAGCAATGGCAATGGCACTGAAGTAGAGCCACCACCACTAGACCCCCAGTAACATCGGAGGTGTTGGAGGAGGAGCGACAGGAAAGTCAGAACGTGATGGAGCAAGACGCGGCTGAGCTTCAAACACCTCGTCAGAATCAGGTAATGTACTTTATGTGTTTCTGTGTGTACGCGCGCGAATTTTTAATTGTATGTGTGTTGTTTAACCTTAACCAAGCACAGTTACCCCAATTCAGCTTTAGTAAAACCGTAGTAAAGCCTAACTAGAGAAAATGTACTCAGTTCAAGTGAAAATTATAGTTTTAAAGTTATGTGTTTCTAAGATAAACTACTTGATTAGAATATTTAATAGGTATGAAGGCCAGTGCTGAATTTCAAATGCATGAATCCGCTGAAATTCAGGCTTGCACAACAATGTAGGCTTAGTTACCATACTTAAACATAATAAATAAACTTATTTACCAGTGTTGTGTACCTGCCTTGGTTGTTGTTAGATGCTCCATGAACCAAGCAGCTTTCAAATTTTTCTTTCAGCCAACTTCAGAGTAGATTCCATAAAGATTGGTTAAGTTTCATTAAATAACTCTTAAATTGTTCATAACATTTGCAGCTTCATTAGCTATCCATTGTAGTAGGAATCTTTTAATAGCAAAATGTACAACTGTTTGGAATATTTCTTTGTTTTGTTTTGCATCTGGTGGAATTTGAAACACATTCTGAGTGAGTCATTTTTCTTACACAATTGTTTTTCTTTTTGTCCTGTAGGGTAAAAGAGAAACTGTTGATCTTGCCAGATGTGCAGCTGCATTTGCTATTGGTGTGCGGGAGCAATGCCACCTATCACAGGTACTGCTTCATCTGATATTATGGGGGTGTCATTGTTAACTTGTTAATAAGTCTGGTTCAATGTAAGGCTGCAACTAATGATTTTTTTTTCATAATCTGTCCACTATCTTTGCAATTAATTGATTGTTTTTCATCGCTGGTTTTATTCAGCTATTACTTTCACCTATATAAGTTATTAAGAACAAATGTACATTACGAAGAAGTTAAGCACAAGAGTTGTGCAGTTCACTGCAATGTATGTAACTCTGGGCACACTCAACAGTTTAAAATAGGCTTAACAGTGTAAAATGTGTTCACTTTTAGGCATAAAAGACAAATGAAGTAGAATTACATAAAAAAAATAAATGAGGCAATCATTTGTTCACTTTTTCTGTTGTAACCTTTCATGCTCCTCCATCTTGCTCGGTGCAATGTGTTTGTGCCACGTGAGTCATGCATGTGGCATGTCATGCAAAACAATGCCAATTATTGGCTGATTTCTTCTTCTACTGCTCCACTGGTAAATTACAACATTCAGTGGCTCATTAATTTGAGCTAAAGAAATAGAGTTGCATTTTGCTTCTGTTATATTTTCTATTTACGCTTTCATGTCTCTGATGTGTTTTTTTTTCCCCCATCAGAGGAGTGTCAACAACATTGTCCTTGGTGTCCAACAGTATCAAACAGCTCTTCTGACGTCCTTGAGGGGAAAAATAAAGACCATCCTTGAAAGGCAACCTGACAGCAATGGACCTTTACAACAAGAAGTTCTTTCAACACTGGACAACTTTCAGGATCCCTTTCCCATATGTGCAGCTTCAAACCTACAGGACCGTGTAACACAGATGCATTTCAACCCTGTCACACCTGAGGAGATCATCATTTCCAATTATGCCTGTAGAGTTAAAAAGGGAGAATCGAGAGTTCTTGCAATCAAAAACAAGTCTTTCTACTACATTCCTTTGATTGAAAGTTTGAAACAGCTTTTATCCAATTCAAGACTATTTGACATGCTCAGTGCTGGACCTCAGAGTTGCCCCAACGCCAGTTTTTTGTATGACATTAATGATGGAATTATTTTCAAAACCCACCCACTGTTTTCAAAGAAGAACTCTGCTTTACAAGTGATACTCTATTCTGATGAGATAGAAATGTGTAACCCCCTAGGGTCACGTGCGAGTGTAAATAAACTACTAATGTTTTATTACACCTTAGGCAACATAGACCCTAAGTTTAGATCAAAGTTGGCTTCCATCAGACTTCTCGCAATCGCAAAGTCTAGGGACATAGATGAGTGTGGGTAGATATAATACTGCGGAGAATCAATGAGGACTTGAAGTTACTGTACGATGGTGTTATGATTAACACTGTCAATGGGGAATTTTATTTAAACGGAGCAGTTGTTGCTGTGTGTGGAGACACTCTTGCCCAGCATGAGCTTGCAGGATTTAAGGAAGGAGTTGGTTTTGCGTATAGCAAATGTCGTCATTGTGAGTGTACTTTTGATGAAATGCAAGAAAATTTCAATGAACATAGTTTCACCAGACGGACATTGGACGGACACATTAGGCAGTGCATTGAAATAGAAAGGGCAACTACCGAATTTTTGAAATCCTCGCTCAAAACGACTTTTGGCATAAATAGACAAAGCAAATTAGTTGATTTCCCAGGTTTTAATCTCATAGAGCAGATGCCACAGGATATTATGCATGTAATTCTTGAAGGAGTGGCACCAATGGAAATTAAGTGTGTGTTGAAATACCTTGTTTTATCTGGAAATTTGGATTTGGACTTGTTTAATTCTGCCATGCAGAACTTTCCTTTTTCATCAGTGGACGTACGTGACAAGCCTTCACCAATTAGTATTGCTACTTTAGCTTCAAGTGACAACAGACTCAAACAATCCTCTGGACAAATGCTTATATTGATCAAGATTGTGCCATTCTTATTGTACAGTGTTGTAGAGAAAAATCCCTTTATCCAGTTTATTTTGGATTTAATTGAAATTGTTAAAATACTTTTTGCCCCAGTTGTGTCTTTACAAACTGTGTCCAAACTAAAAAAATGATAGAAGATCATCTTAAACAATTCAGGCAACTATTCCCAGAAAAAAATGTAATACCAAAGCAACATTACATGCTGCATCTTCCCTCTCAAATTATTGCCCTGGGACCTGTAATACGTCATATGTGCATGAGATTCGAGTCTAAACACAGTTTTTTTTTAAACAATGGTCATCCAAATTAAACTTTAAGAATGTGTGCAAGTCTCTTGTAAACCACAATCAGCTGCTGGAGTGTTGCCAAAGTGAAGCAGGAACTGAGCATCCGATATTTGTAAATGAGAAAGAACTAGGTCCTGTATCAGAGGTTGCTAATATGGACCATTTGCAATCAAAGGTTGTAGAGTTTTTGGGGATTGAAGATGCTATACATCATGCCGTTAGAGTAAAGTGGCTTATTTTACATGGAAACAAATACATCTGTGACAGGTCTCTTATACTCATTTCAGCAAATGGTTTAAACCCTATCTTTGGACTTGTAAAAAACATTTTTATTGTTAATAGTGTACTTTATTGTTTTGAATACCAGGTGTATGAAACCTTGGGTTTCAACAAAGACTTTCTTGCCTATGAAATTGCAATTCCCAACCTTGCCCAAGCAACTGAACTGACTGATGTTGAAGACCTACTTGATTTTACGTCATATTACCCAGTCAATTTCAGAAACAGTGTCTATGTTATGACAAAATATAACCTTGAAGATGTCCTTTCTTTAAAAACCTGAAATAAATACCTTCCAATGAGTGACTTTCTTATTTCAAGGAAAAAGGTGAATGTTTCTTATTTTGAGATAATTTTTGTTTTACACTCTATCTAAAAGCTATTTTTGCTTGAAATAAATGTAAAATGGTTCATTTTTAGATATACAGACTAAATAAGGAAAAAAAGTAATATATACTTGAAACAAGTCTAATCATCTAACACATGAGACTGGAAACTAGCTTGTAATGTTCAAAACAAGATGGACAAGATAATCTGGCTAAAATTAAGACAATAAATCTTGTCAAGCTACAAGGAATTTGCAGTGTGCAGCTGACGAAGCACAGGCCGGAGCTGCAGCTGACGAAGCACAGGCCGGAGCTGCAGCAGACGAGGCACAGGCCGGAGCTGCAGCAGACGAAGCACAGGCTGGAGCTGGACCGGGAGGAGCAGAAGCCAAAGCTGGACCAGGCGTAGCAGAAGGTGGCTGGATGGGCTCCTCGGGCCCTCCAGCTGATGTGGCATGGTGCTGGACGGGCTCCTCGGGCCCTCCAGCAGCCGAGGCGTGAGGCCGGACGGGCTCCTCGGGCCCTCCAGCTGACGTGGCATGAGGCTGGTGCGGTTCTCCTGAACCCCCAGCTGACGAGGAAGGTTGCTGGACGGGCCCCTCGGGCCCTCCAGCTGACGAGGCGTGAGGCTGAACGGGCCCCTCGGACCCTCCAGCGGAGACGGGAGGCTGAACGGGCCCCTCGGACCCTCCAGCGGAGACGGGAGGCTGAACGGGCCCCTCGGACCCTCCAGCGGAGACGGGAGGCTGAACGGGCTCCTCGGGCCCCCCAGCTGACGAGGTAGATGGCGGCGTGGGAGCCGCGGAGTCCTGGATGAGCTCATCTGAGCTCCCAGCAGGAGCTGATGCAGAGCCAGAGAGATTAGGGACCCTGGCCGAATGTTAAGCTGACCAGCGGCCCGTACTGCTATCGGGGACTGGGCTACTGGAGCTACTGGGGCCTGCGCTACTGGCGGCACTGGAGCTACTGGCGGCACAGGAGCTACTGGCGGCACTGGAGCTACTGGCGGCACTGGAGCTACAGGCGGCACTGGAGCTACTGGGGCCTGCGCTACAGGCGGCACTGGAGCTACTGGGGCCTGCGCTACAGGCGGCACTGGAGCTACTGGGGCCTGCGCTACTGGCGGCACAGGAGCTACTGGGGCCTGAACTGAAAGTGGCACTGGGGACACTGGAAACTGAACTGAGGGGGACACAGGAAACTGAACTGAGGGTGGCTGCGAGGGAGCTAACTGAGCTGTGAAGGGCTGCGAGGGAGCTGACTGAGCTGTGAAGGGCTGCGAGGGAGCTGACTGAGCTGTGAAGGGCTGCGAGGGAGCCGACTGAGCTGTGAAGGACTGCGAGGGAGCCGACTGAGCTGTGAGGGGCTGCGAGGGAGCCGACTGAGCTGGGAGCTGCTGCGGGGAGCTAACTGAGCTGCTGGTAGCTGCACAGGCGATAAGCAGCTCGCTTTGACATCCGCCACACAAAACACAGCCCCTGAATGAACAGTCATAATGTCTGGAAAAGACACAGAGTCCGCACTCACCACAGCAGGTGAATTAGAAGTCCGAACGTCCGGCTGTGGGGTGGCGCGACGGCGGCGTGAACGCCGTTTTCTTCGGGATGGGGAAGGAGCTGAGCCGGGCCGCGAATCCTCCAGTGGACCGGACTGAACGTCCTCCGACTCTTCCCACCGGAGAGGTAGTTCCGGGCGGATGCCTATGGTGGACACGAGGAAGTCCCGGATGCGGGGGTGTAGCGCGCCGAATAACCAGGGGAGTCCGGACACCATCCGCTGTAGACGGCTGGCTAAGATCTCCCGGTATCCTCCCCTTGGCAGCGTCAACCACTCCTGACAGTCATATTCCACCGTGTAAAGTAGATCCTCACGGAGCTCAGCGGAGGGGTTGTGAACTGCTGGGTCCATGTCGAGGTCGCGTTCTTCTGTCATGATTCGTTGTGTGGCAGGCAGGATGAGGACCCAAGATGCAGATTCACAGACACGGGGATAAACTCAAAAAACACAGCTTTAATGCTGGCACGGCAGAATACAGGACATACAGAACTAACTGGGAAAAGTAAACTAACACTCGCAGGAAGACACAGGAAGATCCACACAACATGAGGGAGAACGCGACGCCGAACAGAGGGAGACGCAGACAGAAATACACAGAGGGTTAACGAGGAAAGAGGGAACACACGGGGAACACAGGTGACACTGATAATCATAACGAGACAGGGCGGGGTGAACTGAACATGACATGTACAGGCGTGAGAGTCACAAAGTAAACAGGAAGTGCACAGAGGTTCAGACAGGAGGAGAGAGAGCACGGGGAAAACACAGACATAACGGGCTGGGGAAACATGAAACAACCACAAAGGGAGACGAGGGCTCATAAATACACAGAGGGCACACAGGGGGGAGAGAGAGCACGGGGAGAACTTAGACATAACGGGCAGGGAAAACATGGAATAAAACATAAGGAGAGACGAGGGCTCACAGATACACAGAGGGGCACACAGGGGGTAAAAGCCATGAAGGGAAAACACTTAGGGAACAACACAACAGGGCAACTCAGGAAACATGGCCTAAATAAGGAACGAAATACAAAAATACAAGGAACTAAGAATACTGGGCCCACATGGCCCAGGACCATGACACAAAGATTCAAAGAATTGGGAGATCTTAGCAACCTTTTAAGTGATTTCAGGTGAACAGGTGTGGCACTAATCAGGCCTGTGTGTGGCTAGAGAAATTAAACACTTTCCAAACATGTGATAAACCAAAGGTAATTTACATTATAACACCTTCATAAGCATGTTCATATAGAAACTGCATTTTGTGTTTACTTGTGCTATCTCTGTCTAATATTGAAATTTAAGTGTGAAAAACATACAAAAAAATAGGTAATCAGATAGAGGCAAACATTTTTTTACACACCACTGTATAGTGATGAATATAGTAATGAATGAAATGCATACAAAGTACTTTCTGTACACTTTTCATCATTTTTAAATCTGGGTCTGGCATCAAACTAAAATTGTTAATCATAATATGACCTTTAGTACGTCTATGCTTTAGGGCTTTCTGGCTGATCCAAAGCTGAGACAAATCTAAAATTGAACTTAAACTATGTTTTCAAAGACACTATAATATTAATTAGCTTATTATTGTTACTGCTGAATGAGTACCCTGGTATAGTGAAGACTGTAACATGAATGCTATGAGAGAAAGCAAAAATAATATCAAATCTGTGTAAAAACCTGTAATTGTTATGGCAAACATGCATTATTAAAAAAGTGATATTGTCATCATTTTTATTTAATATGCAGAGGTTTGGAGGAGAGATTAATTCTTCAGACAAAAGGCGTATTCATAGCACAGACTTGCTATCATTTGAAAAACTGTGAAAACAGTTAAAACATTTCCTTCAGTTATCACTTTCCTGTGAGGTGGAGTCAATGCAAAGCATCTTCCACTACTACTTAACCCTCTTTGGAGAGAATAACAGACACCTTTGTGCACTTCTATAGCATTATGATGGATTGCAAGGCAGGACTGCTGCTTTTAGCTGTTTGCTGGGCAGGCAAGGTTTTTCTCTGAGCTTAAATTGACATTGACATGAAATTTTGAAGAATAAGTCATTTGATTTTTTTCTAATGTCTTGACAGGTGTTGATGGTCAGACTCTGAGAGAATCTGAGCCAGTGATTAAAAGGCCTGGAGAATCCCACAGGCTGACCTGTACAGCCTCTGGATTCACATTCAGCAGCTACAGGATGGTTTGGGTCAGACAGGCTCCTGGAAAAGGACTGGAGTGGATCGCTTTTATACACACAGGCAGTTCTCATATCTATTACTCCCAGTCAGTCCAGGGTAGATTCATCATTTCCAGAGATGACTCCAGCAGTAAACTTTTTCTACAAATGAACAGTTTGAAAACTGAGGACACAGCAGTTTATCACTGTGCCCGGTGTGACACAGTGACAGCCAGTAATAGGAGAGTCATACAAAAACTACTTCCCAGATTCACCAATACCCCTAGTAACATACAGTAGTCTCATAGTGGTTGCCCTGAGATTGATGAATTTATTCATTTACCTGTGGATGAAAATTCTCAAAACAGGCTAAACTACAATGATTACTTATTTATTTGTGATTATTTAGGTACTATCATGGAGAACATAAACTACTTTTGCAAAAAGCAACAAAGTGACAGCTAAAACTTGCATCAAACCAACAAATCATTGCACAGGTCTTACAATGATTTTTGCTCCTTTTTATTTATTTATTTTTTCATAGTTTTAGGTTCAAGGAATAGATATGTACATATAAGAATATATATATACACCAGAGGAAGAGCCAATAATGATTTGAAGGAAAAGTTTTTTTCAAAGCAGAGCTTTAAATCATTTAGACCCAAGTGTAGCATTTCTGAAAGAGACTTAATTAGTCACTGTCTGCAGCTCACATTAATAGGAATATAAAGCAACAATTGAACACTGTGATATGCCACAGTGTTGATGACTCTTGATACACTGAGGAAAAGGTGATATTTTTTCCTTTCCTTATCTTCTTCCTGTGAGGTGTCCATACAAACCAGAGGCAGCTCCAATTGCTACCTAATGACAGATAACAGACAACTTTGGGTGCCATATTGTATGATGGATTACAAGACAGGACTGCTGCTTTTAGCTGTTTGCAGGTCTGGTCAGGATTTTCCCTGATCTTGATTGTCAATGTCTTGCAAGGTCTTGATCATCAGATTCAGAGAATCTGAAGCAGTGATTAAAAGGCTCTGGGTTTACATTAAGCAGCTACAAAATGAACTAGATCAGACAGGCTCCTGAAAAAGGACTGGAGTGGATTGCTTATATCAGCACTTACAGTTCTCCTATCTCTCACTCCCAGTCAATCCTGGGTAGATTTACCATCTCCAGAGATGACTCCCGTAGTAAAGTGTATCTATAATTAAGAGTTTGAAGACTAAGGACACAGCAGTTTATTACTCTGCTCGATGAGACACAGTAATAACGTTTTTGCAAGTAATTCATGCAAAAACTATTCCCTTTTACTCTTCCTTGTCCTGATATTTTGTCCTGATAAGCCCATTTATTATGTATGTATGAAAATTCACAAAACAATATAAATTACCACGACTACTTTTTACACAAGGGCACTATCTGTGTAAACATAGGCTACTTTTGAAAAACACTACACAGTGACCACAAAAGCCAGCAAAACACTGCACCAGTGTTAGAAGTGCAAACAAGTTTCGATAAAGGTTGATTTTTCTTTTTATATTACATACAAACCACCATTCAAATATCCAGATGGAACACATTACAAACTAACTTTTAAAAAATGGATTTGATTTGATCCGTATACAAGGCAAAGTAGTTTGTAATAGAGAACAGTTAGATTCGATGAGTAACTGATGGATGAGTATTCAGAAGAAAACAGGTTCATCTCAGGCTCTCCAAAGTATGGAGGCCTGTCACCCCTCACCACTCTCCCTGCCGGTGGCTGATGCCCTCAGGCGTCAGTGCATTGGTAGTTCTTGGTGTCTGGGGCTGGGCGCTCAGGTATGTACCGGCTCACTCCCAGTGGCTGCTTGGAGGGGCCGGGCGTCCGTAGCTCGGTCGGGCCTCCTCCGGGGAGTAGGGGGCCCAGGAGCCTCCGGGCTCTGGACCTGCTGCTCGGTCCTCCTTGGGCTCTCGCACTCTGGAACTCTGGATATCTGGAGCCTGGATCTCCTCCATGCCTGATTCATGCCCTGGGGGGACGGGGGGCTATGGCTCCCCACACTCTCTAGCAGATTGTTATATGGAGAAACCTTTTGAATATAAGTGCACTGATCCACACAGGTGTGCACACAGGTGTTACATGGGTGTTCACAGACACAAACTACACCTTTCTTGGCTGCTACCTCAAAGCACATTGTGCGCTGTCAGTCCTGCGTGCTGCACAACAACATTCAATATTTAGTATTTACTGTTATTTATACTTAGCTATGATGTTGTGTTTATTATGCTGCTCTCTTTTTTGCTTGTTTTCTCTTTTTTTTTATCTCAACAGGTGATCCAGTGGACCAATACGGCAAAGCAATGAAGATCCACTTGGTAATGTTGGGTATCTTTGTTGGCCTTCAGACAACAATTTTGACGGCTAAAGAACCAAACGGGACAGGTGGGGGAAAAAAGGGAGAAAAAGAAGACGAAAACAGGTTCTGTTATGTGTAATAGCTGTGCTAATAGTTTTGCAAAGTGTGTTATAATATTGCAACAACAGAGATACTAGGTGCACTCAGAAGAAAATGACCTCAAATTTCTAAATATTAAACTTTTTGTCTTTCAACACAGTGTCAAAGCTCAGTATGGGACAAAGCAAAATATTTCACTTAGTCAGATTATATATTCAGTGCTATAATTGTTGTTGAAGAGACATTAAAAATGTTGCTAATTTTTAAGGTTCTGAAAACATTTTAAGACATTTGCTTACACCGAGCATTTATTCTAGTTTCACCATGAAAAGAGTTCATGCGGAACCAGTCTGATAGTACAATGTGAGGAGGAGTCAATGCAAAATTTATCTTCAGCCTCTACTTATCTGACTGCAAGGAGCATGACAGAGAGAGCAGATGTCACACAGTTTAACATGATGGACTACACGAGAGTATTGCTGCTTTTAACTATCTGCTGTGGAGGTAAAGCTAAATGACCTTTAATTATCAATAAAATGCTGCAAAATGAAAGAAACTGACTATGATTTGGTTGTTATTTAACAGTCCATGCCCAGACTCTGACACAATCTGAACCAGTTGTTAAAAAACCTGGAGAGTCTCACAGACTCACCTGTACCACCTCTGGACTTTCATTTAGTAGCAACTGGATGGCCTGGATCAGACAGGCTCCTGGGAAAGGACTG